ACTTGACTGACTTGCCTGAAGGAGTGAAACCGATTGGAGTTAAATGGGTTTTTAAAACAAAACTCAATGAAAATGGTGCTATCAACAAGTACAAAGCTAGACTTGTAGCAAAAGGATATGCACAGCAATATGGTTTTGATTATACAGAAGTTTATGCTCCAGTGGCAAGATTAGATACCATAAGGTTGATAATCGCCATAGCAGCTCGAGAAGGTTGGAACATATTTCAGCTTGATGTGAAAAGTGCATTCCTACATGGGGAGCTTAATGAGGAAGTGTATGTCCTGCAGCCTCAAGGATATGAGAAGAAAGGCGAGGAAGACAAGGTTTATAAGCTGAATAAAGCCTTGTACGGTCTTAAGCAAGCTCCGCGAGCTTGGTACAACAAAATTGAAGCTCATTTTGTCAAGGAGGGTTTTGATAAGTGTCATCACGAGCACACCTTATTCACAAAGACAACGGGAGGAGGTAAACTCTTAATCGTCAGTCTTTATGTTGATGATTTAATATTTACTGGTAATGACAGCAACTTGTGCGAAGAATTTAAGAAGTCAATGATGATAGAATTTGATATGACTGATTTGGGTAAAATGAGATACTTTTTGGGGATTGAAGTGCTGCAACATTCTGATGGGATTTATATTTGTCAAAGAAAATATGCTCATGAAGTGCTAGAAAGATTTGGCATGGACAGAAGCAACTTTGTGAAGAACCCAATAGTTCCTGGCTGCAAGTTGTCAAAAGATGAGAAGGGAACTGAAGTTGATTCAAGTTTGTTCAAACAAGTGGTTGGCAGTCTCATGTATTTAACAGCCACCAGACCAGATTTAATGTACGGAGTAAGTCTTATCAGTAGATTCATGTCATGTCCTACCGAGCAACATTGGTTGGCTGCAAAGCGAATGCTGAGGTATTTAAAAGGCACAACTGATCTTGGAATTCTTTATAAGAAAGGAAGAAACAAGCAGCTCACAGGTTACTCGGACAGTGATTTTGCTGGAGATTTGAATGATCGAAAAAGTACGACAGGATATGTATTCATGCTTAGTTCTGGAGCTGTGTCATGGTCATCAAAGAAACAACCTGTGGTTAGTTTATCTTCCACCGAAGCTGAATATATTGCAGCTGCTTCATGTGCCTGTCAATGTATTTGGTTAAGAAGAATTTTGGCAAAACTTGGGTTCATACAGGAACAATCTACTATAATTTTATGTGATAACAGTTCAACTATAAAACTGTCAAAGAATCCTGTTCTTCATGGAAGAAGCAAACATATTGACATCAGGTTCCATTTTCTTCGTGAATTAGTTCGAGATGGGGTGGTGGATCTAAGGCATTGTAATACCCAAGACCAAGCTGCTGATATTCTAACAAAACCACTCAAATTGGAAGTATTTTTAAAGCTTCGTAAGTTGCTGGGCATCTGTGAAGTTCCTACTTTAAACTGAATGTACATACAGTTTAAGGGAGGGAATGTTGAGTTTGTTATTTGATTTAGTCAAGTTTGTTAATAAGTCCTATTCTATAGGAAGTAGTTTCGTATTTTGTTCTAATCTATTAGCTATCTTATTGGGTTGTTAGTAAGTTAACGTTTAAAAGTTCATTTCTGTGTAACAAGGCTATATAAAGGCCTGTAGTTTCCTTTAATATAACAACTTTTACAAATCATATGAGTGTTTCTTTACAGTCCCTACTTTCTACCCTCCACCCGATGTTCCTGAAATTTATTCCCAGCCATGCATATTTCTCCACTCCCCCTTCCATGTATTCCTCCAACTGATGTATTTTATGCAACCTTCTCAGCTCTCTCGAGCCCTTTACTCCATGTTTATTTTTTGCTTTTGCTTTTAGTCTCTCCTCTCACCTTCTCATTCCTTCTTTTCTCTATATCCGTTAAAAGATCCATAGTCTGCTCATTTAAACTGTCAAAAGAGATCCCTAAATGCTACTGATTTCTGATATTCTGGAGCACCCGTTTTGAATTTTCTCTTCAATCAAGTCCACAATCCTCTCCCCTGCTTCTCCTCCACCATCAGCAACCTCCTCTGCAGCATCCCCATGTCTTCCCTCCTAGGAGTAACTATTACTACCACTTCCTCTACTGGAACCACCGTTACAAATCTGGTGGAATCCTCCCCTACAACCTCCACTGCATCGCAGACCTCCGTAGAAACGATAGTTTCTCTCCCCTTACTGCTGCTCAGAACTTCCTTCTCCCAATCACCACTAGTCTCCCCCACTCCCTGGTCATTCGCTCTGCCATCAAAATCCAAAACCATGTTTTCTTTCACTGTTGAACGACCAAACTCCTGCTTCCAGTCGTGGGTTTCTGCATCTTTCTCTGGGTTACAGGTCTCCATATCCATTTAGCCCATGACTCATCCTTTAACCCATCTCCTAGGCTCGGGCCCCTCTATCCATTTTCCTTTCTCACCGTGAGAAAATGTTTAACCATCAGCCTGTCTTTCCTCTTTAAATTGGGTCCTCCTCGTCAATACTACCCAATCCCTGTCTTGAGAAATGAGTGAATCCTCTTCTCAAACAGCCCTGCAATTGCAAGGGTTCGTGATTCTCTCGCATGCATGGTTCTTCTGCTTCGGCTCTTCACATTCTTTCCGTGTGCTTCCATCCTCAGTACGGTTAGTATTTTTGTAGCTTTGATATCTTAAAGTTCTCATCTAAGCCATATTATTACAATAAATTATAGACCAGTAAGAAATACAATTCCTAATCTACTTAGAAATAACATCTTATCTCTCTCTCTAAAAAAAAAGGCTGAATTTTGTTCAAATTTCAATTTCATGAAATAGAAACATAAATGGTTTTTTTTTAAATCAACAAACATAAATAAAATAAAATTGGGATAGAAATTTTTTGAAAGAAAATAGCAGTCTAATTCCAAGTCAATTCTACATTCAATTCAAAGTATATATTTTTATGATTCATTCCTTAACAGCAGGGATACAAATTCATGGTTGGAACTAAGAAGACAAATAGAATTGATTCATTTATGTATCAATATGCATATTATAACTAATTTTTATGTGCCAGATAATTCACACTTAAAGATCGAATGAGAATAGGGTAGAGTTGAACCAAGCACAATGAAAATTATGTAGAATATTTTCGAGATATACCTTGAATCCTCACACCAGTAGCGAGCTTCAGTATCCTGGACAACTTCAATTTGCAAATACCAATTTCATACGAGAGCTAAAAAAAATCTTTTGGAAGAGATAAATTTTTTATTTTGGTACAGCTTTAGTAAGCAAAGTAAAAAGAAGATATAGAAAACTAACACATACAACATTTTACCGAATCACTTCAGGTTCTTTTGTCTCCAGAACTGGTGCAGCAAAAACAGGATAGACAGATAATGGGATCATGCTGAACCCAACAAACTGCAAAAGAACCCTTCTTGAAAATTTTTTGACAGTTATTGACGGGAATCTATTGCGCAAATTGTTCATCACAGCATTCTTGGATTGCTGACTGTTCCTACTACAGATTTGAGTAAAATTAGTAACAGAATTCAGGGCTTCAGCATTCAAGAAACATAATCTTTTTACAAGAAGGTGGTAGTAATATGAATGAATGAATCACATCAATTCAACAGAAAAACTAAATAACTAACTATATTGAATAATAAAGTAGAGTTACCAACTCACCCAAAAGCTTTAAACGGACAATAAATAGTTTAATTTATTATTTGGTTTTTAAAAAATCATAAATAGGAACCTACAAACTCAGAAGAAGTTTCCTTGTAGATTTATCTCATCAAACGAAGACACTTCTTACAGAAATAGGAATACTTCTTTCCCCACATTTTTTCTTCTCAATTAGTAATAACATGCTTGTAGGTTCTTGGATCCAACACCAGATTCATGACCCATTATGCGCAGACTCAAGGGAATTGGAGTCTGTCCCTCAATTTCAAAACACAAGGATCACAATGGATTTGCTAGTAAACTCAGTCAAAAATCTTTAGTGTGATTCATTTTCCATTCAATTTATAGTTAACTAGTAAATTTAATCTTATGTTACTTTTAACATGACTTGTTAGAACATAACTGGGAGTAATTGAAAGCTGCTCCTAAACATAGATGAGTTTTCATAGTTCATAAATAGAATTGGTACTCTTTAATTTTTTTTAATTAAAAATTTATACATTTATTAACTAATGATACATAGTTACCAATCACAATGCAACAAAGACAACCTCCAAATAAAGATACACCCGAGCACATTCCGATTTGAATAAATAACTTCTTACCCAGAGATAGATATATTAACCATTCTACTAAGTACTGGTGTCCTTTAAATTTTATTTTCTTAACTTTTTAATATAACCTTAAAACCACTTAATCCAAGATGCCAACTCATATAATTACTCCCATAATTTGTTATGCTTCAGTTATTACTGCCTTATTTTATCATTTTACATTTCTGACTTAAATGCAACAAGTTATTTAACAAAAAAACTTTAATTGAATGTCAGATGAACGAAACGTAACCTAAAACAAAACCTAATTAAACTGCAACGGCTCTTCTACCCTTTCTTTTTACCAAGTAGGCTAGCCACTTTGTCAAATGCTGGGAATGAACCAGAAACTCATGCTCACCCATTCTCAATTGGGAGTAACCACTGAGAGAAAGACTCATTTGTGAAAAAGTCTCATCTACTAAAATTTTCAAACTCTGGCCCTCTCTGAAATTCCATTGCAACTCAGTAAAGAAAGGTTTCTGATAAAACAGACAACATGGATATAGAAAACCCAGATTCTTTTTCAATTTATGCAGCCAAAACCAGGTATTACATCTGATTCTTCTAGACCCCACTACCAATGTCTTGATAAAAATGAAACGACAAGCATCTACCAGAACTTTTTTTCAATCTTTGTGCCTTACTTGCCAATAAAACATACGAAGAGATAAAGTTTACCAGGGAGTTCTTAAAGCCCGAGGGAATTGGAAGAAGACATGAAGGGGAAGAGATTCCATTATCAGGATTCTGGATAGCGGATTGCTTGCTGCTTGCTCTGTAAAGGGTGACGAATAAAAGGCGAGCTCTGGTTCTTTAAACAGTAATCTTCGTATAAATAGAGCAGGTGGAATTCTCTACAAATATACCACAGTGATCTTCTCATAATCAGTCAGTGGAGCCCACAAGAAACTCAATCAAGACCGTCCAAAACGCGGCACGTGGACATATCCGATTGGACCCGACGCTGAATCTCAAAAGGAGAGAATAGGGATGCCAGCAAACTGGGCCCCATTTGGAAGTCATATAAACCGGATGTAATTTCCAAAAAACCCACTTAAATTTTCAAATTATATTATTAAATTTAAATTTTAAATTTTTAAGCGACGACTAGGCAACTCTTCATCAATAGAAGGATCTAGAAACCCTAGCATTTTCCTCTATATAAAGTTCGCTTCATTCAGGGTCGCAGCCTCACTCATTTTCGCTCTCTGTTAAACTTTCCCCTCCGTTTCTCCCTTCTCAACGAAGTCCCTAGAGATCTTCTTTTTAGGTTGTTGAAGTTGCGGATCAATGGCGGATACAGAGACGTTTGCTTTCCAGGCAGAGATCAACCAGTTGCTGAGTCTGATCATCAACACTTTCTACAGCAACAAGGAGATATTTCTTCGTGAGCTTATCAGCAATTCTTCTGATGTAAGTGGCTTTCCTTATGTGAAACCTTTGTATGTGTCTGGTTATGAGTTTATACATGAGATCTACTCACTGTTTTTGCCTTTTCTACTTTGTCGATGTTGACGATGATCCGTACAGACGTGTGAGGACACGATTTATAAGGACATAGATTAATAAGATCATACGAAGAGTAACATGTTATGTTCGTTTGGCTTTGATGTTTGTTCCTTTTTTGTTTGAACGGCTATCGATCTTTTTTATTACATGTAAATGCTGTTTGCAATTTCCCTTACGCTAAAAACCTAACAATAGAGATGTAAAATAGACGCATTTCTGTCAAAATTTGTTTGGTGAGAGTTAAAAGCTCATAAATGACTGTGGTATGTAGACAACTGGCTTGGGATGCCTTCTCTTAGTTCTATCCTACACTTATACAACGTAGTAGGAGGTAAGCAGATGACAAAATCGTAGTCTAATTTAAGATTAATAACGTGTTAAAGATTTATAACATATGAATTCAGTTTCTAATGATACAGTAAACCAAATAAGTAGGCATGAAACTTTTACATTTAGCTTTTGGTTAGTAGACAGAAAGTACTTGATTAAGCTAGGGATTATTTTTATGAATCAGAAATAGGATCTTAAAAGTTTGAGATATAAGAATAACCATTTTAAGGTATTTCCTTGATTATCAGTGTTGGTAGCTAGACATCTGCATATGTCTTGTTGATAGTTTCTTTTTTCTTGACATTCATATTACGCTCATTCTCTTAATGGTTTTGTTTGTCTTTTAATGTGTTCGTATTAATCCTGGTTTGCTTATTGACAGGCCTTGGATAAGATCAGGTTCGAGAGCTTGACAGACAAGAGCAAGCTTGATGCTCAGCCTGAGCTTTTCATCCACATTGTTCCTGACAAGACCAACAACACATTGTCCATTATCGACAGTGGTATTGGCATGACTAAGGCTGGTAAGTGCTGGATATTTTGGGCATATTTTGTCTCTTTCCTAAACTGTTGAAATTAATAATTGAAATTATGTTTCCTTTTAGATTTGGTGAACAATCTCGGTACTATTGCAAGGTCTGGTACCAAGGAATTCATGGAGGCATTGGCTGCCGGGGCTGATGTGAGCATGATTGGGCAGTTTGGTGTTGGTTTCTACTCAGCTTACTTGGTTGCTGAGAAGGTCATTGTTACCACAAAGCACAATGATGATGAGCAATATGTCTGGGAGTCCCAAGCTGGTGGATCATTCACTGTGACTAGGGACACCTCTGGTGAAAGCCTTGGCAGGGGTACTAAGATTACTCTCTTCCTGAAGGAGGATCAACTTGAGTATCTTGAGGAGCGCCGTCTGAAAGACTTGATCAAGAAGCACTCTGAGTTCATTAGCTACCCAATCTCTCTGTGGGTTGAGAAAACCACCGAGAAGGAGATCTCTGATGATGAGGATGAGGAAGAGAAGAAGGATGAAGAGGGGAAAGTTGAAGATGTTGATGAGGAGAAGGAGAAAGAAGAAAAGAAGAAAAAGAAGATCAAGGAAGTGTCTCATGAGTGGTCTTTGGTGAACAAGCAGAAGCCCATCTGGATGCGGAAGCCTGAGGAAATCACCAAGGAAGAGTATGCTGCTTTCTATAAGAGCCTTACCAACGACTGGGAGGAGCACTTGGCTGTTAAGCACTTCTCAGTTGAAGGTCAACTTGAGTTCAAGGCTATTCTTTTTGTCCCCAAGAGGGCACCCTTTGACCTTTTTGACACCAGGAAGAAACCCAATAACATTAAGCTCTATGTCCGCCGAGTCTTCATCATGGACAACTGTGAAGAGCTTATCCCTGAATACCTTGGGTTTGTGAAGGGTATTGTTGATTCCGAGGACCTTCCTCTCAACATCTCAAGAGAAATGCTTCAGCAGAACAAGATTTTGAAAGTAATCCGGAAAAACTTGGTGAAGAAGTGCGTTGAGCTTTTCTTTGAGATTGCTGAGAACAAGGAGGATTACAACAAATTCTATGAGTCCTTCTCCAAGAATCTCAAGCTTGGTATCCATGAGGACTCCCAGAATAAGTCAAAGCTTGCAGAATTGCTCAGATACCACTCCACCAAGAGTGGTGATGAGATGACCAGCTTGAAGGACTATGTGACCAGAATGAAGGAGGGACAGAGCGATATCTATTACATCACTGGTGAGAGCAAGAAGGCTGTGGAGAACTCTCCATTCCTGGAGAAGCTGAAGAAGAAGGGCTATGAAGTTCTGTTCATGGTTGATGCCATTGACGAGTATGCAGTTGGACAATTGAAGGAATTTGAGGGTAAGAAGCTAGTATCAGCAACCAAGGAAGGCTTGAAGCTTGACGAGAGCGAAGATGAGAAGAAGAAGAAGGAAGCTTTGAAGGAGAAGTTTGAGGGTCTCTGCAAGGTCATTAAGGATGTATTGGGTGACAAGGTAGAGAAAGTTATAGTCTCTGACCGCGTTGTTGACTCTCCCTGCTGTTTGGTGACTGGCGAATATGGATGGACAGCCAACATGGAGAGGATTATGAAGGCTCAGGCTTTGAGGGACAGCAGCATGGCTGGGTACATGTCTAGCAAGAAAACCATGGAAATCAATCCGGAGAATCCCATAATGGAGGAGCTTAGGAAGAGGGCCGATGCAGACAAGAACGACAAGTCTGTCAAGGACCTTGTTCTCCTATTGTTTGAGACTGCACTCCTCACCTCTGGTTTCAGCCTTGACGACCCCAACACCTTTGGCAACAGGATTCACAGGATGCTGAAACTTGGGTTGAGCATTGATGAGGATGCCGGAGAAGCTGATGCTGATGCTGACATGCCCCCACTCGAGGATATTGATCAGGAGGGCAGCAAGATGGAGGAAGTTGACTAAACATTTTTTTTAATCTAGTTTCATGTTATGAACTATTTAGTTTATGGTGATTTACATTTCCTTTTTCTTTTTTAGTGTTTTTATGAGGATTTGACGCT